AGACCCAGTGCATTCATAATTTGCTCACATGTTTGAAATGCAATTTCCTATCATCAGCCAAGAAAACTTCTTGAAATTTCATAAACTGTAGGTTTTAAAGGCATTATCCCACTTCTGGTCAAATGCACGTGATCAATAATGATAGTTAAAAATCTCTGAAATTTTGAACTATTGACCCAGTACATTAATAATTTACTTGTAGGTTTGAAATGCTATTTCCTATCATCAGCCAAGAAAACTTCTTGAAATTTCTTAAACTATAGGTTTAAAAGGCATTATCCCATATCTGGTCAAAGGCACATAATTAATAATAATAGTTACAAATCTCTGTAAAATAGAACTATTGACACAGTACATTAATAATTTGCTTGTAGGTTTGAAATGCTATTTGCTATCATCAGCCTTGATGATATCTTGAAATTCTATAAACTGTAGGTTTTAAAGACATTATCCCATTTCTGGTCAAAGGCACGTGGTTAATAATAATAGTTAAAAATCTCTGAAACTTTGAATTATTGACCCAGTACATTCATAGTTTACTTGTTAGTTTGAAATGCTATTTCCTATCTTCAGCCCAAAAAACTTCTTGGAATTCCATAAACTGTAGGTTTTAAAGGCATTATCCCACTTCTGGTCAAAGGCACGTGATCAACAATAATACTTAAAAATCTCTGTAAAATAGAATTATAGACCCAGTACATTCATAATTTGCTCACATATTTGAAATGCTATTTGCTATCATCACCCTTTATAATATCTTGAAATTCTATAAACTGTAGGTTTTTACGGCATTATCCCACTTCTGGTCAAAGGCACGTGATTCATAATAATAGTTAAAAATCTCTGAAACTTTGAATTATTGACCCAGTACATTCATAATTTACTTGTAAGTTTGAAATGCTATTTGCTATAATCAGCCGAGACAGCTTCTTGAAATTCCATAAACTTTGGGTTTTAAAGGCATTATACCATTTGTTGTCAAATGCATGTTATTTATAATAATAGTTAAAAATCTCTGAAAATTTAATCTATTGACCCAGTACATTCATAATTTGCTTGTTAATTTTGAAATGCTATTTACTACCATCCTCCCAGATAACTTCTTGAAATTCCTTAAACTATAGGTTTTAAAGGCATTATCCCACTTCTGGTCAAAGGCACATGATTAATAATGATAGTTAAAAATCTCTGTAAAATAGAATTTTAGACACAGTACATTCATAATTTGCTCACATGTTTGAAATGCTATTTGCTATCATCAGCCTTGATAATATCTTGAAATACCATAAACTGTAGGTTTTAAAGGCATTATCCCACTTCTGGTCAAATACATGTGATTTATAATAACAGTTAAAAATCTCTGAAAATTTGAATTAGTGACCCAGTACATTCATAATTTGCTTGTAAGTTTGAAATGCTATTTACTACCATCCTCCCAGATAACTTCTTGAAATTCCTTAAACTATAGGTTTTAAAGGCATTATCCCACTTCTGGTCAAATGCATGGGATTCATAATAATAGTTAAAAATCTCTGTCAAATAGAATTTTAGACCCAGTACATTCATAATTTGCTCACATGTTTGAAATGCTATTTGCTATCATCAGCAATGATAATATCTTTAAATTCCATAAACTATAGGTTTTAAAGGCATTATCCCACTTCTGGTCAAAGGCACATGATTAATAATAATAGTTAAAAATCCCTGTAAAATAGAACTATTGACCCAGTACATTCCTAGGTTTTAAAGGCTGCTTATCTCATTTCTGGTCAGTGGCATCTGTTGCATAACAATGCTCCTCCATAATGCAGAAAACAAAACAAAATTGAAAATGAATTTAAAGTAAATTTAATTTTTTAAGTTACAGTAAACTGAGAAAATCGTGTTTCAGTAGATTTAAACTATGCTGTACAACACTTTGTAGATACTCTTTTTCTCTCTCTCTGTCTCTCTCTCTCCATTTCAGAGCACTCTCTATTGAGTTTTGTGGATTTCTCTGTGAGGTACAAGCACGCCTCTTTCACTGCTACATGAAAAATGTAGTGTGTTGTTGCACTGTAAAAGAAACAGAAAGACATAATCAACATACCATGTTTGCATTAGGTAGCTACATAAAAACAACAGAAGAAAATGCCCTCTAACCACTGTTTTATCAAATTGACAGGAGAGAAACAAATTGTGAATATATACATGTATTACCACATATACTGCAGAGTCAGTTCTTTGAGTTTGTCGTCCACATTGTGCACATCCAAGACAGTGGTCATTGAGCTGGTGTAGGGACATCTGAAATATACAGGTTCTTGATAGTAGTAGTGCATGTCTTAAAATTGCATTAATGTCATGTTAAACTTTAATGAATGAATCAGTGAATGAATTAATGAAATATAAATTGGTGAAGTTAACATTTTTCATGAAGACAATTCATAACAACAGTAGGATGTGTATTGAAACTCATCTTGGCAAGAACAGGATCAAGCAAAGCACATTCATTATATACTGATAACTGTATGTTGTTGTCACTGGATAATAACTAACCTTTTGTCTTTTGGGATACGACGTGTAAAGTTGGTTTCAAGCCACTTCAGGAGGTGTCCATAGAGCTGTGGTTTCAAAATTCAAACATTCTCATGAAACATGTAATGTTCATTTGTGGGTGTGGCTGTGGGTGTGGGGTGGTGTGGGTGTGGTTGTGGGTGAGGGTGAGCGTATTGGTATGGGTGTGGTTGTGGTTGTGGGAATGGGTCTGGATTGGTGTGGTTGTGGATGGGTGAGTGTGGGTGTTGGTGTGGGCATGGATGTGGATGTGGTTGTGGATGGGTTTGGGCATGGGTCTGGATTGGTGTGAGTGTCTGCATGGGTCTGGATTGGTATGAGTGTCTGCATGGGTCTGGATTGGTGTGGATGTGGTTTTGGATGGGTGTGAGTGTGGATGTGTGTGGGTGTGAGCATGGGTCTGGATGGGTGTGGATGTGGTTGTGGATGGGTGTGGGTATGGGTCTGGATGGGTTATGGTTTGGAAGTGGATGGGTGTGGGCATGGGTCTGGATGTGTCTGGATGTTTTGATTGTGGATGGGTGGGTGTGGGCATGGCTCTGGATGGTTGTGGTTGTGGATGGTTGTGGATGGGTGTGGTTGTGGATGTGGATGGGAGTTGGTGTGGGCATGGGTGTGTATGTGGGTGTGGGTGTGGTGCGGTTGTGGATCGATGTGGGTGTGGGTCTGGATGGGTGAGGGTGTGGAAGTGGATGGTTGTGGGCATGGGTCTGGATGGGTGTGGATGTGGGTGTGCGGGTGTGGATGGGTGTGGGTGTGGGTATGGATGGCTGTGGTTGTGGAAGTCGATGGGTGTGGATGTGAGCATGGGTCTAGATGGGTGTGGATGTAGATGGGTGTGGGCATGGGTCTGGATGGGTGTGGTTGTGGTGGCTGGGTGTGGATGTGGGCATGGCTGTGGATGTGGGTGTGAATGGGTGTGGATGTGGGCATGGGTCTGGATGGGTGTGATTGTGGGTGAGGGTGTGGTTGTGGATGGAGGTGGGTGTGGGCTTTTGATTGGATGGGTGTGGTCGTGGGTGAGGGTGTGGGTGTGGGTGTGGTTGTTAATGGGTGGAGGTGAGTGTTGGTATTGGTGGGTGTTTGTCTGTTTGGGTCTTTTCATTATTACAATATCATCAGATACGTACCAAATTGGTATGAAGGATGCTCTTAAGTGTAACATTAAACTAAACATCATCATTTAAGCACTGTATCATTTACTACTTTAGTTACCTCTGCTGGTATGTAACTTGCTGCAAAGCCTGCCTTCACGTCCTGATACGGATGTCTTTGCAGAAACATTGTGTGCCTCTCTTCTCTCTCATCTCTGTCGCCACTGTAAGGAGAGTACATTGAATGTTTATTTGTTGTTTAATGCTGCACTAAGCAATATTCTAGGCATATGTTGGTGGTCTGTAAATATTCAAGTCTGGACCAGACAATTCAGTGATCATTAACATGAGTGTCAATCTGCCCAACCAGGATTCAATGACATATGTCTATTTACCAAGCCATCGAGCCTGACAACCCGATCCCGTCAGTCGCTTCTTGTGACAAGCATGGGTAAAGGTATACCGGGTATTCAATAACACTACTATTTTTTCTATACATATTTTAACACTGGAGTTACTACATATGCAATATCACCATGGACATACACTGTAGATAATGTTTTCTTTGAAGAAACATGGACCAGAAGTTATTTTGTGGGGCTTATATATAGGAATGGCAATTGCATTTACAGTAGTAATTTTGACTTCATCAATAATAAAGGTTATATTTTTCTAACATCCATTTAACATTCATGCTGTTGAGAACTTTCTTAGGTTTAGTTTAGTTAGTAAAAATCACATGGAACAAGGATATAGGAACAAGCTAGACACATTACATTACATTGTCTTACCTGAAGTTTCCCTGAATCAGATTCCGCAGATATGTGGCAAGATTGTCCTCCTAGAGAAATAATAATGAACTCTCTGTATAAATGCATCATCTAAACTGTGGACAATGTGAGACTCACTTACTGTCAGTTTCTTTCATATGCTAAAATATTATAAAATAAATATCATATATATGTATATTTATATTTATATATTCTAATTTAACACCTACCTCTTTCTGAAAGAATGCCTTTGAAATTTGCATAGTTTCTGGTAGATGAATATTGTTACTTTCTGGAACTGAATCAAAATATATTGTCTAGTTGATGAAATGTAACTCCATACATAGAATATCATAGAATTTAGTCAGTGCACAGTTCAGAGTATAAAGCTTGTTAATGTTGTAATAGGAATTGATACATTATTTTCTGGCACCCTGTACCTGTAGGTAACTCCAGGAATGTTATTAAGCATCATAATGCTTTATGGTCAATCAGGCTTTTCCTATTTCATCTTAAATTTTATCCTCATCAATAATCAATGTGTTTGATGCACATCTAAGGTATCCTCACCTGTGTCCTATTCACTGCCATAACCAGGTGGGGATGATCTTGTGTCACTTGCTGGGTGAATGGAAGTAATTACAGTTGCAGGGAAGATAAATACTGGTACATTAATAATAATGTTTCGTAACCTACATTTTACAGCAAAGGAATAAAAAAGAAAAACAAATAATATGAATGAAACAACTGCCATGGTTACAATGAATTAACTTTATGCATGACGATGATTGTAGAAGAAATACATGCTTCTAACAATAATGGTGCTAATATAGTTGATGCTAATATGTGTACTGACAGGGAAAGTCTTTGTGACAGTCTGTGTTCAGTGATTTAACACATTATACCACATACAGGTATCTCTATGTACTGTCACTACAACAGTTCTCTTGCACTGTAAAGGGTTGAAGAGGGACATTAATACAAAGTACCATTAATAGAGTCTCACCATTAATGTTGTCCACGCATTGGCACACCGACAACTCCAAGTGACAATCCCTGCAAATTTGTCCTGAGAAAATGAAGATATTTGAGCAAATCAAGGCCGATATTAAGACTAAGTAACTGTATATTAATTCCTATTTAATATTCCAAAGTATTTATGATATTCCAAACCATAGACACTTGTAGGGCTTCCACGGGTACTCGAGTACTCGAGGACGAGTCGGGTTTAGCTGGACTCGAGTCCATTTTCAAGGACTCGAGGACTCGAAAAGGGGAGATAACTCGAATTATTGACGTTGACGGACTGTCTGCCATGTGCTGATCATGAGTGGCCGTTAACGTCTAATATTTAGAAAAAGATATAACTTTATTATCCCGGAGGAAATTCTCATACATCCAAACTGTCTCAAAATAAATATATACACAGTTCATAAAAATATACACAATAATTACATGCTCAAAACGAATGCTATTTACAAATAAAACTGATATAATTCAATTAACCACATTGGTAAAGAGGCTGAAAAATTCTAGTTCTAATCACATGATGGTGATTCAAAATATTTGTTGCATTCACGAATACTTGATGGTATGAAAGACTGTCGAGTTCCAGATCTGTTTTGAGGGAAGGTAATCGACAGCAGCATCCAGAAGGAAGTAGTTCAAAATGGTGAGAGGGGCGGTGGGGTAGCCTAGTGGTTAAAGCGTTGGCTCGTCACGCCGAAGACCCGGGTTTGACTCCCCACATGGGCACGATGTGTTAAGCCCATTTCTGGTGTCCCCCGCCGTGATATTGCTGGAATATTGCTAAAAGCGTCGTAAAACTAAACTCAGTCAGTCAGTCAGTCAAAATGGTGAGATCAAATATGTCAACTATCAAATTTAATTTTAGCTGTCTTTTTGACTATACTCGAAATACACTCCAGAAATTTTGCAAGCAGTATTAACAATTTCGAAAAGTCTGTTTTTGTTAAGATGAGACAGATCCCCATACCAACATAGAAAATTGTAGGTCAACACACTTTGAAAACTGTCATTACGGTTTTGTAAATGCCTTGACGATAATAATGTTCAGAATCAGAAATTAGGCCAGTAACAGTGGCGTCATCTGCAAATTTCACAGTAAACAAGTCATATATTGACAAGTAACAGTCATTGGTATACACAACGAAGAGTACGGATGAAGGAACACAGCCATGTGAATCTCCAATAGAGGTTGAGAGAAGAGAAGATTGATAGCCATTGACACTGACATACTGAGTTCTAAGTACCCTGAATTCTTCAACCCATCTGTTATTGCTTTTATTAACACCTAGATTAAATAGTTTACTCCTCACACGGTGTGGCTGTATGGCATTAGTTGTTACAGGTCTGCAGATGAGAGTAAATATTATACATCGATTAAGATTACACTTCTGAAAATGATTAGGTAACTATCTTAACAATTGATCGTTTGCTTGAAAGGTATGAATTTCGAGTACTCGAGTCCGAGTCGATTCTCAGCCCTCGAGTACTCGAGTCCAAAAAAATGGACTCGTTGAAGCCCTAGACACTTGCACATTTAATGATATCTTATGCAACATTAGTAATCAATTACACATACAGAGTAACATGTACCTGAACTGGCCGACATTGTACTTGTCAAAAACATGTACTTACATTGAATCGTTTGCCTAACTATGGTGAATAAAAAGAAGTCCTCAGTAATTCATGATCTGATGGTATTTGTACATTATTGACCATAGCTGTTAACCACTTGTTTACTCATCTGCTGGTGTAATTCATATCATTTGAAAATAATTGTTTATGGTGTGGTTAATCTATTAATTTGTACCTACCTAGTTCATTCAGGCTCACATAATGGAACTCAGAGATATGTCCCAGGAATAGCTTCTTGGTTTTATCTTGTCTATTCACTGCCTTGATCGTGACTGGGTGTGTTTCCGATGCTGTTGTGATTCATCGATCTGCATGTACACAATGTATCATTAATTATCATTTGAAAAGTCTCACAAGTAGGTTTAATACTATAGTGTGATTGGGCAGCACAGTGTTTAAAGCATTCATATCTACAAGCCTCAAATCTAGATTCTGTTATTATCATTGGTAAATGGGTGAAGCCCATGTCTAGTGTCCCCAGGTCATGTGTCATGATGTTAAACCAGACTTACTCTCTCAAGGCAAGATAACATGTCATACAAAACCACTGTGTATATAATTATACAAAAACAATTTTCAATGCTGGCTTACTGTATTTGGGTGTGTCCTCAGATGCTCCACAATGTTGTCCCTAACCTCCAGAGCATTCATTTCAAGTTAAGCACATGATAGATCTGGTCACTCAGGGACAGAAACATGCAGTTTCCTCCACCTGAGTTGTGTTTCACTACACAGCCCCTTCCCCTTGCCAAGTCTTCTAATTTCTGGAGAAGATGGTCATAGGATAGTGCTGTTGGGGGCATAATTTGTTTTTGTAGTGCCCTGACATTCATGTAGATATCTGAAAATATATGCCAAATTTCAGAACTGGTATTTAGGCAGAAGAACATGGGCAAACAAAAATTCTTCAGATTTTCTTTCCTTTCTTGCTTGCAACTTATAGTGGTAAATGTTGGATTTGCTTCCTTTACCTGTGTTCAGACACGCATCAAATACGTTCCTTCTTCTGTGAGCTGTCATCTAATAATAAAGTACTTGAAGGAAACTGATAGCCAGTGTTCTAAATTGTAAATATATAATATTGTGATGTTAATATTGGTATATGAGTTTGATATTGCTTATGTGTTAACTTAGTCTCACCACCACGTGGCTGAAGTAATGCTGATGCTGCATAAATTTGTATTTATGTAAGTGATAACATACATGTGGAAACTCAAACAAAAATTGTAGTAACTGCATGCTTCCAATTAACATAAAAGATTATCCTATATAGTCCAAAAAGCATATTTGGTCAGCATGACTGAGCATCTATATGTGCATATTAAAGTAAACAAAAAGTTTGTGAAATGCTGAAATGTTAGCAAAAATAATCTCTTGAGCATTAAGGTTATTTTTAAAGTTAGCAACCTTTTGTATTTATGTGCTAACTACTTAATAACATAATGTTTTGTGAAAGTTTAATGTATATGGTGACACATACATACTAGCAGTCTTTGAACATGTGACCCTAACAGACTGCACCTGTATGTCTACTTTGCCTTCTCTTTTCTCCTTCCTTCTGCCTTGTTGTTGCTGTAATCTGGCAAACAGATCGCCATGAAACTTTTTTTCCAATCCGCACCTTGTATTTGTGGAGCTTGTTGTCCACTTGTAAAATCTCCCCCTCAACAGCTTTTGGAGAGGTGATCTTCTCCCCAGCCCTGGTTACTCCTTTGTCCTTGCCCAGATGACGAACAAGAACAATCTCCCCCCACTTCATACTGAGAAGGGGGATTGGTCTTCAAATGTTTATCCACCATTTTCGATGAAGATTTGTCTGATTTTATCAGGACTTCTCTCCTGATATATTGCAGTTCTTTCAATCTGCTAAGGGTCCCTTCACTAACCTAATAAAAAGTAAATAAATTATAAGACCGTACATGCGTCCATACCATACCATGCCAGATAACATATACCATATCATACCATATCATATGCCAAACCATACCATACCATCTACCACACCATATCACACGTCATACCTTACCATACCCTTTGCAATACCATATCACATCATAGAATATTGTACCATACCATATCAGATGCCATGGCATACCATGCCATTCCATATAACATACCATATGCCATACCATATACCATATCATATCATATGCCGTACCATAACACTCCATATGCAATGTCATGCCCTGCCATACCACACCATACAATTCCATATACCATACCATGTGCCATATATCATATACCATACCATACACCATGCCACCATACCATATGTCATACCATATAACATAACATATACCATACCATACCATATAGTATACCATACCATACCATATACAATACCATATACCGTACCATATAGTATACCATATCATACACCATACCATATGATATGTCATACCATACCATAACATACCATTTATTATTCCACACCATACCATACACCAACATTATATCATATGTCCTACCATACAATACCAAATGCCATACCTTATCATACCATACCATATCATATGCCATACTATACCATATTCCATGCAATACCATATCATATGCTATAACATATCATATGCCATATCATATGTCATACCGTACCATACCTCCTACAATGCCCTATTATACCATACCATAGCATACCATATACCATGCCATATATCATAGCATATGCCATACCGTACCACATGAAATGCCATACCATACCTTACCGTATACCATACACCCACCATACCTTATCATACCATGCTAAATCATATGCCATACTATACCATATACAATGCAATGCCATACCATACCATACCATATGCTATACCATACCAAATGATATGTCATACCATACCTCCTACAATGCCCTACTATAGCATACCATACCATATACCATGCCATATCAGAGCAAAGCAAAGCATATGCCATATCATATGTCATGCCATACCATATGCCATAGCCTATCATTTGCCATACCATACCACATGGAATGCCGTACCATACCATACACCACACCATGCCATATCATATGCCATACCATCTCATGTCATACCATACCATATGTCATACCATACCATATGCCATACCTTATACCATATCATATGCCATACAATATGCAATGCAATGCCATATCATAGCATACCATACCATTATCATACCATACCATACCACATACAATGTCCTACTATACCATACCATAGCAAACCATATACCATGCCATATCATATACCATACCATGTCATAAGCCATACCATGTGCCATACCATATCATATGCCATACCATACAACATGTAATGCCCTACCATACCATATACCACACCATACCATATGATATGTCATGCCATATCATATGCCATACCATATCATGTGCCATACCATACCATACCTTATACCATTTTCCATACCATGTCATACCATATATCATACTATACCGTATACCATACATCATATCATATGTCCTGCCATACCATACCATATGTCATACCTTATCATACCATACCATATCATATGCCATACTATACCATATGCAATGCAATACCATACCATATAATATAATACCATACCATATGCTATACCATATCATATGTCATACCATACCAAACCTCCTACAATGCCCTACTATACCATACCATATACCATGCCATATGATATTATATGTCATACCATATCATATGCCATACTATACCATACAAAATGCAATGGCCTAGCATACCATACCATACCATGCACCACAACATACGATACCATACCATATGCCATACTATATCATATGTCATACCATACCATATGCCATATCATATGCCATACCATATGTAATGCCATACCATATCATAGCATAGCATGTCGTACCATACCATTTGCTATACCATACCATTTAATATGCCATACCATATCACATGTCATACCATATCATACCATACCACATACAACACCCTACTATACCATACCATATACCAAGCTATATCATGCCATATCATATGCCATACCATACCATATGCAATACAATTCCAGTCACCTGAGATTGTTCTTCAACAGTTTCATATTCTGCATTGCCTTCACATGTGTATCCATCCATACTTTTCCCTCCTGCTTTCAACAGCCTGGTGATATGGTGTGGATGGAATCCAACCATGGCTCTGTAAGGACTGCAACCTACAATATATAATGCACAGTATCCCAGAAAACACTTAGAACAAACCACAGACAAAAACAGCTTGTATCAGCATGGACTTGTTACAAAATGTTACAGGTAGACCAGTAGTGGGACTGTCATCAGTCATCAGGACTTATTTTCAGAGTATTTCTGTGGGATGAGATAATGCCATGATCAGGGCCATTTTCTTCGCTCTTAAATATCTTACCAATTGCTGAGTTGACCGATTCATTGTGACTGCGGCAATAGTCAGGAAGACTGTCTACCCAGGAGATATCATCCAGGTGCTGAAGGTCATACCGCAAACAGTCCTTCCACACTCTATGTGAACGCTCGTCCTGAAATTATGAAAATTACGTTTATGTTTGAAAATATCCTCTTCAATAAAGGCAGTGAAAATATTGTGTCAAATGCAAATACCTATTTTGACTTCTGTCATATGTTCCCATGTTGTAACAGGTGAGACTTGCCTTCACAAGTGTTTTTGAAGGGTGCCACTGCTCACCTTTTCACCTCTGGTATCATCACTATTTGATGATGATTCATGAACACATACAATCACATGCTGATGATATAGTAGGAATCATACATTCGACTCATCATACATCCGATTTCTTATTGATGTGGAAAGGTTTTTGTTGCTTTTATCTTGGGAAACATATGTGCAGGGGTGGTGAGGTAGCTTTTGACAGTTTTCTTATGAATATCAAAGGGGTTTAGTTCCATTATTTGTTTTCATCTGTATTTACAGATATATCACCACTGTCCTCCATGGCAATCATTTTTATCCATTACACACACCCCACCCACACCACCCATAAATTATGAACGGTCCCTCACTACAACTATAAGGACCTACATGCAACATGCAGCTTGGCTGGAAACAGACTCTACCTGTTATTATTGAAGACAATTTCTTACCTTTCCTTGAGACTGTGGGTGGTAGGTTTGAGAATGGATGAGCCTGACTCCAAGTTTTTCACAGAGTGAATTCATCATGCCCTTAAACTTGCCACCCTGATCTGTTTGGATAATTTTGGGAGCACCCCATTGGTGATCTAAGTACACCTGCACTAAACTTTTAACAACACTCGGTGATGTTTTGTCATATAATGACCTAAGCCAAAAAAACCTAGAAAAAACGTCCAGT